GCCGCAGTGTGTCCTCTACGACCACAGTTGGTGCAGGGGACGGCCTCCCTCGGTATCTCCCTCCTCCTCTCTCTAGCGCCAGCACCCCCGAGCTCCATAGGGCTCGGCTCGGAGGTGCTGGAGGATGGAATGGACGGCCCCAACTCTGGACATCCGCGGGTAGCCAGCAGGGTATCCAGACAGATTGACATGTCCACCAGCTGGTCGAAGGTGAGATTGGTGTCCCTGCAGGCCAACTCTCGTCGAACGTCCTCACGCAGGCTACACCGATAGTGGTCGATGAGGGCCCTCTCATTCCACCCCGCATCCGCCGCTAGAGTCCGGAAGTCCAGGGCAAACTCCTGGGTTCTCCTCTTCCCCTGTCGAAGGTGGAACCGACGCTCTCCCGCCACTTTACCCTCAGGGGGATGATCGAACACAGCCCTGAAGCGACGGGAGAACTCTGCGTAGCTGATGGTGGCGGAGTCTATTCCCCTCCATTCGGCGTTGGCCCACTCCAACGCCTTGCCGGAGAGACAGGAGATGAGGGCGGAAACGCTCTCGTATCATTTACATTTACATTTTAGTCATTTAGCAGACGCTCTTATCCAGAGCGACTTACAGTTAGTGCATACATTATTTTATCGAACCCACAACCCTGGCGTTGCAAACACCATGCTCTACCAACTGAGCTACATCCCCTGCCGGCCAAATCCCTCCCCTATCCTGGACGACGCTGGGCCAATTGTGCGCGCCGCCCCATGGGTCTCCCGGTCGCGGCCGGCTACGACAGAGCCTGGATTCGAACCAGGATCTCTAGTGGCACAGTTTAGCACTGCGATGCAGTGCCTTAGACCACTGCGCCACTCGGGAGTACATCCCGAGGGCGCCGGGTGTATGGTAGCCAGGTAGAGCTCCACTTGAAGGAGGAACCCCTGACACCCGGCTGCGGTGCCATCATATGCCCTCGGGAGCGAGAGCCGAATACCACTGGACTCCGGAGCTGGTATGGTGGGGCTAGCCGATGGTGGTGGTAAGGCATGGCGGACCCGAGTTGCTGGATTCTGGCGTCCTGGAAGCTGACCCGATCTTCCAGCGACTCGGTTCCCGCCGCTGCTGCTGCTGACTCCATAGTAATAGGTGTGTTGTTCTGTCACGATGTACTTGTTGATGTGGTGGTGAAGTCAGGTGCAGGACACAGCGGATAAGTCAAACAGCTTTACTTGACTGAATACAGAAAATAAATGGCCTCAACACACAGGAGGCGAAAATCTACTAAAGCACAACAAAAACTAACAGACAAACGACAGGCGGACAACAACACACAACTCCAAAACATAACACAGGGAAACTTATAAGTGACATAATCAGGACAGAATACGAAACAGGTGCACTAAACTAGACATGACCAAACGAACATCGAAACATCATGTCTGACTTTGAGGGTAGGAGCCCGGCCGACTTTTTCCAGCAGAAGAGGCTGAATGATAGTATGTACCAACTGTATCTGCTTACCTGTCTGGTCTTAACCATTCCCTGACTCAGCTAAAAGGACATTCTCCGCCCTAAAACGGATCAAGACTTACTCCAGGTAAACCACCAGGCAGGCCCAACTGTCAGCCTTGGCTTTGATCTCAATGGAGAAAGTACTTCTCTCGGATATAAAATCAAAGGACGAACTATATGACCCTGCCTGCCATTGGATGGACTTTGTTTTCAAATGATAATCGTCTGGTGGGTGGCACAGTTTTTTTATTTGCAGTTTTCTTGCTGCTGCTATTAATCTCTTTGATATAAAAACATTGTTGCATTTGAACTTCAGACCACCGGTTATGTTGTGTGGTGAACCTGATAAACTATGTTTGCAATGGGAAGTAATAGCTGGGTTGTTCATTTCGTGTTGGAATTGATAAATGGTTGTTTTTGAGTGTGACTGTCTTTTTGGAACTGTTGTTGTGAAGGGATGTATGGCTTTACGGCCTTGTATACACCACATGACCAACAGTATGTGGACACCTGCTGATCGAACATCTCATTCCAAAATCGGGTTATAGAGTAGCCTAAACAATGCAATTGTCACAACATTAGTTGTAATATGGCATTTCTTTCCTGGCTTGATGCCCCCGTGATTTACGCGCACCGCTGCTGTTGTGTCACTGCCAGTATGCTGTCTCTGTGAGCTGCAACCCGAAGCACTGCCCAGGCATGTTTGATTTTGTCATCAAAAAGCAATGCTTCTCCTGCACTAGATTCTGCACTAGAATGGTTCAACTACACAATATCATGTTGGGTGCATTACGTGATGCTCTGTTTCTATTATTTTCTGAAGGAAAAAGGAAAATTAAAATAGAGGAAATTATTTCCCAAACTGAAGGCCTAGGTCCAATAGCCACTGGTTTACCACAACAGTCACGGGCTTCATCAATAAGTTCATAGAATATGTCGTCCGCACAGTGAAACCCAGCGATGAGTTGCGCAGCGATGCAGAACTCCCAAACAAGCTAAATTACATTCATGCTCGCTTCGAGGAATATAACACTGTGCCTTGCATGAAATCCCCTGCTTTTCCAGCAGAGGGAGGTGTTCAGTCCCAGGGTCCTTAGCGACGAGCTTGGAGAGGACAATGGTGTTGAACGCTGAGCTGTACTGTAGTTAATGAACAGCGTTCTCACATAGGTATTCCTCTTATCTAGGTGGGTGAGGACAGTGTGGAGTGCAATTGAGATTGATTTGTCTATGGATCATTTTGGGCGGTATGGATATTGGAGCAGGTCTAGGGTGTCTGGGATGATGGAGTTGATGTGTGCCATAACCAGCCTTTCAAAGCACTTCATGATTACAGATGTGAGTGCTACAGGGCGGTAGTCATGGTGGCATGAAGCCTTAGAGTTCTTAGGAACAGAAATGATGGTGGTCGTCTTAAAACATGTGGGGATTACAGACTGGGACAAGGAGAGGTTTAACATTACAGTGAAAATGCCTGCTAGCTGTTCTGCGAATGCTCAGAGAATGCGTCCTGGGATACCGCCGGGCCCCGCGGCCTTGCAGGTGTTGACCTGATTAAAGACCTTACTCACGTCTGCCTCGGAGAGCGAGATCACCCAATCCTCTGGATCGGTGACGGCCCTCACACCAGGCATAATGTTGTTATTGTCGAAGCGTGAATAAAATGCATTGAGTTCGTCTGGTAGAGAGGCTCCGTCAAGGCTGGGTCTTCCTTTGTAATCCATAATGGACTGTAGCCCCTGCCACATGTGGTGGAGCCTGTGTAATATGATTCCACCTTATTCCTATATTGTGCTTTTGCTTGATGACTCTGCGGAGGTCATAGCGGGACTTCCTGTACTTGGTCCTGTCCTCTGCCATAGCCTCGGGGTTGTCTATGATAGCCCTGTGTGCGGTATCCCTGTCCTTTAGTTAAGCGCCAACCTCAGTGTTAATCCAGGGCTTTTGATTGGGGAAGCAACGAACCTTCACTGTGGTGACAACGTTGCCGATGCATTTCCTAATGAAGCTGGTGACGGAGGTGGTTAGCTCGTCAATGTTATCGGAGTCTCTAAACATGTTTCAATTGTCCCTAGCAAAGCAGTCCTGTAGCATCATTTCTGATTCTGGTGACCATTTCTCAACGGAGCGAGTCACAGGTACTTCCTGTTTGTAAACAGGAGTATGGAGTCATGATCTGATTTGCCAAATGGTGGACGAGGGAGGGCCTTGTATGCTTGCTTGTGGGTAGAATAACAGTGGTCTAGGACTTTATCGTCCCTAGTGGCGAGGGAGACATGTTGCTGGAAGTTGGGCGTCACGTTTCGTAGCCCTTTCCTGCAGTCAATGACCAAAAGCACCCTCTTTGGTCCCATGGGTGGAATGTTGTTAATCTTTTTTGTAATTTCATCATTAATAAATTGTTTTTTAAATTATTATTTTCATCTGGTGTTTCTAAGTCAAATAGTCTAGATTTTCATGCAGATGCAGATGTAATTTGACTGCAGCCCCTATAACCCCACCACACAGGGAGGAAACAGGCCAACCTCTACAACCCCCACCACACAGGGAGGTGTGAATAAAGGAGTCAGGCGCAGGAGGTAAAATACAGAAGTCCATTTCACATAAATAAAACGCACCAAGCGTCAAAACGAAACTATTCCAAATGGAAAAATAATCCACCGTGGAAAATGACACATGAAAGAGTAGCTCAACCGAGCTACTCGCTCTCACAATAAACAATCACTCACAAAGGCAAGGGGAACCGAGGGAACACTTATACACATACTAATTAGGGGAATGAGCACCAGGTGTGTGTGATTGACAAGACATGACAAGTGGAGTGATGAGAATGGGATCGGCAGTAGCTAGTACTCCGGTGACGGCGAACCCCGAAGCCTGCCAGAACCAGGAAGGGGGGCAGCCTCCGCGGAAGTCGTGACAGGAGGAGACAGGTCACCTCTTCAACCCCCACCACATAGGGAGGAGACGGAGCAACCTCTTCAACCCCCACCACAGAGGAAGGAGACAGGACAACCTCTTCAACCCCCACCACAGAGGAAGGAGACAGGTCACCTCTTCAACCCCCACCACAGAGGAAGGAGACAGGTCACCTCTTCAACCCCCACCAAACAGGAAGGAGACAGGGCAACCTCTTCAACCCCCACCACACAGGAAGGAGACAGGGCAACCTCTACAACCCCCCCCACACAGGAAGGAGACAGGGCAACCTCTTCAACCCCCACCACTCAGGGAGGAGACGGGGCAAGCAGCCAGGTGGAAAGCATGAGCCACAGTGATGGTTGAGATATTGGCATTGCTATCTGTACCATCTTGGCAGACAAAACCACAGACTATAAAACAACACGATGGCGCTGCAACTGAGGAATGCTTAGCAGAGGTATAAAAAGACTAGCAGAGGTGTACCAGCAGCTAACATCATCACTCTGTTCATCTGGGGAGAGGAAAGTAGACAGGACGGTAGTCAGGGGACGCTGTAGAATCTCTGATACTGGCAGGTTATACTAAGGTGAAACATGCAGCACTTAATGCCAGGATTTGACGTTCTGATCTCACAAGTGAGAAAAACAGGCGGATTTTACATGACCACCTTTGCTCTTTTTCTTTACCACGTTGTGTTTGATGAACACTTGAAATGCTTATGTAAATATGGTGTTAAACCAGAGGTTACTTATAACCATTGTCACGTCTACATGGTGTTGCCAACTGTCATCTTGTTTCTCTTGACTCTCTGGATGGATGGACAGTTTCAACGTATCTTGAGAATTACATGCAGAGGTAAATGTAATTTGTGGGGAAGACTGTTGGCAATCCTCATTAAGGCGGCTGCTATAGGGTTGCTGTGGGTTGTGTCTGTACTCCTTGATGGGGACTGGTACGTGTGCTATCAAAGAACAGAGCTTCCCTGCAAGAACAACACTGTTCTTGCAGGGAACACACACTACCAAGAGGAACTAGAAAAGCAAGTCGAATCTCATTTCAAAAGGGAGTCCGTGGTGAGTATCTTTCATTATTTACTTGTTATTGATTATTGAAAGTCCCCAGAATATTTAAGGGGGGTGGACACCAGAGTATTTGGAGGGGGGGTGGAGACCAGAGTATTGAAGGGGGTGGCGACCAGTGTTTTGAAGGGGGTGGAGACTAGAGTATTGAGGGGGGTGGAGACTATAGTATTGACGGGGGTTGGATACCAGGGGTGCGTTCAGTATGCTTAAACGTTTGCTATGTTGCTTGTACTGAATGACACATTTCCCAAAAACGTTATTGTACGTCCTTGAACAGATCAGTCTAGACTTTAAGGTATGTTTGCTCCCGTTTGGTGGGTGTGGCGAGGTTTGGCTTGAAGCAATGAGTGAGGTATTTAAAGGGCAGTGGCCATGCTGACAGCGTTCCCCAACCCACAACCCAACCCCTCCCTGTTTTTCAACTGGTCGTTCAATACAGCACCGTTTCCCTTCAAATGAATGTTTCAGAACATAAAAACATATTGAACGCATCCCAGAGTATTGAGGGGGAGACCAGAGTATTGAGGAGGGGGGGGGGGGGGGGGGGGGGGGGGGGGGGGGCAGAGTACTGAGGGTGGGGGCAGAGTACTGAGGGTGGGGGCAGAGTAATGGAGGGGGGGGGGGGGGCAGAGTATTGAGGGGGGGGGCAGATTAATGGAGGGGGGGCTAGAGTATTGAGGGTGGGGGAAGAGTAATGGAGGGGGCAGAGTATTGAGTGGGGGACCAGAGTATTGAAGAGGCTTGGAGACCAGAGTATTGAGTGGAGGACCAGATTATAGAGGGGGGGGGGGGGGCAGAGTATTGAGGGGGGGGCAGAGTAATGGGGGGGGGGCAGGGTATTGAGGAAGCGTGGAGACCAGAGTATTGAGTGGGAGACCAGAGTATGGGAGGGGGGGGGCGGACCAGAGTATGGAGAGGGGGGGACACCACAGTATTGTTTGGTCTAAAGATGAGATTTCCCTTAACATGAAAACACATTTTGTTTCAGGTTATTGGCTTGGTACTGGTTCTGGTTCTGCTTGTTATGAATTCTATTCTGACTGCAATACCTTGGAGGGATATCTGTTCTATTCTGACTGCAAAACCTCGGAGGGATTTCTGTTCTATTCTGACTGCAGTACCTTGGAGAGTTATCTGTTATATCTGTTCTACTCTGACTGCAATACTTTGTATGTGTTACCGTTGTTGTCGGATTGCATTTCCTTGTAATTTGTGCAACTGCAAAAAAAATAGTTGGATGACGGACTTTGAAATCAAATCTTATCACAGGACACTATTTAAGGAGTATATTTGCGAACAGATAGACATTCTTATTGAAAACGACTTAAAGACAACAGCTAAGGAGTGTGTAGTTCTTAAAATCAGAGAACTACTACAGCCCTCTTCGAAAGCAGTCCTTTCAGACACCACACAGGGAGGAGGCGGGGCAAGCAGCAGCCCCACCCGTCCTGAGGTGGAAGATAGTAGGAGCAGCACCACCCGTCCTGAGGTGGAAGATAGTAGGAGCAGCACCACCCGTCCTGAGGTGGAAGATAGTAGGAGCAGCACCACCCGTCCTGAGGTGGAAGATAGAGTGATCACCCTTGACAACCTTGATTTTGACAAGATATCTGATCTACATTCTCGTATAATCAGCTCTTTGTTCCCTGAACCTCCCAGTTCTTCAGCCCCTGCAACCCCCCAACAGCCCAAACAGGGAGAAGACGGGCCAAGAAGCCAGGAAGTAAGAATGAGACTGTTAGACAACATTGATGATTGAGAGAGCTGTTCTAAACAATCTTTATTTCTAGGCTATAACCTTGATTAATGCATATGTGTTAATATAACCAGTGAATTATATTTTGTTACTGTTGATTATATTCTGTCTTAATGTCTACCTTTAAAGAACAATTTAAACAATTATAATAATACTAACAATAATTATCTCCTACTGTCTTCAATGTACCACATCTATGGTGATCACAATCAACACTGCCAGTTAACCAAAATCTACTACCAATGCTTGGGGTGATATTGTATTGGTAAATTGATTCCTGCACTTCATTTAGTAATTTCCTATAGGCCAAGCTAGGCCTTTTCAGTGGATCCACATGTAGTCATTGTATCAGGATATTGCCAAAACCTTATTCAGTGGACCTAGGCCTTTTCAGTGGATCCACATGTAGAGAATGGTGTAACAATGGTCAGAATTCTGTGCAAATTCAGAATAGAAAGCTCTGATTGGCTCTGGTCAACCAGTTGGCTGTTTGTGACATCATCAACACCAAACACTAGTTGTATCTGTCAGATCAGATCTACAGTCATTTCTCTCCGCTTTTTACTTTTGGATGATTGAATGATTCATAGCAGATCTTGCAGCGTGATAGGGTCAAATCAAGGTCACTATCAGCAGACTTCCTGTAGACTGCCTGAACTGCTGTTATTCTCCTCTAAAGGTTTCACCTTGCTGTCTGGTTGTAGAGAAGAAGAGAGGTAAGGAGACTAATCACTATTCACTACATCTGGACACCAATGTTCCCTCTCATTTTTTACGGCACTGATAAGTTGCGTCAATTCAAATCTGGTATTAGGAACAAAAGAGGTCAATACACGTCTTCTAAAATAGACTAGTATTTTAATTAATGCAAACCACTTCAATGGTAAATATGATGTTCGTATATACGGGTCCACTGAAATACCACGCAGGGCACTCAGAGAACTAAGCCATTGTTCTAAGTTCTTCTCCAAATACTCTGACAGAGATAGTTCCCGCTCCCTGCTGGCCTATCAGAGTAGAGACTGAGCGTGGTTTAGACTTACTCAGCCTATCCGTTGGTGCACAGGCTGGTCCCAGTCCCTTGGCGCTCCACTGTTGCACACTGTTGCCAGGCATAAGTTGTTATCATCACAACCTGTAGAGTCAGCACCCATAGACACTGTTCCCCTGTACCTTCGTCCTTGAGCGCGGTTTAACAAAGAGGCAGTGTGTATGTGTCTGTGAGAAATACAAGTCTTATCTCATCCTACCCCCTAACGTTCCTCACATGAATCACAGCTTGTTATGTGAAACAACTTATATCAGAACAGTACATACCCATTAAGTTTAATCATTAATGCATTCCTTCTAAGCTAGTCATCACATCAATATCCCCACAATCCCCCTTTTCACACCCACTGGGTGTGAACCCAAAATAAGAAAACCCAAAATAACACATTTCAGGGAAATGTAGGATTCCCTGTATTGACACCCTCTAGGGCAGGGGTGTCAAACTCATTTTAGCTCAGGGGCCACATGGAGGAAAATCTATTCCCAAGTGGGCCGGACCGGAAAAATCATGGTGTATATATAACTTAAAAACAACAACTTCAGATTGTTTTCTTTGTTTTAATACGATCAACATACAACATAAAGCTGGAGCCTGAGGACAGTGTCCAAAAGCACAACATCACTATTAATCATAAAACACCTCAAGTTATTTGAAAGTTCTGAGGACAAAGAACACACAAACACACAATGCCTCAGTGATTCACAGAAGTATATCACAGATCACAGAACTATATCAGGGTGTCATTTCTCAGGCAGAAATGTAGATACAAATAATGAAATCCTGTTCCCCAAACAAGTGCAAGAACCACAGAGTCAAGAATAGGTTAAATATACAAATAAAATAAAATAAATTAAAAACAATAGCACATCAACATAAAAACATATAAACATAAATCTGAAAGCGTTGCTCAAACTCCCGTAACAGTCCAGTTATTTTATCTTTGAACCGCTTCATGTCTGCCACATGTTGGGTCGCGCACACATTTTTCAGACAGGGGAAGTGAGCTGCATCACCACCGGCAAGTTGCGTCTCTCACAATGACAGCTTCAACTTGAAAGAACGTATGCTGTCATAATACTGTGTGACAACTTTGTTGCGCCCTTGCAGCTGTTTGTTCAAGTTATTCAGGTGCTCTGTAACATCCACCATAAATGCAAGGTCCTGCATCCATTCTGCGGAATGAAATTCTAACACTGGTTTGCCCTTTTCTTCCATGAACTGTTCAATTTCTTCTCGTAAATCAAAGAAACGCCTCAGCACAGCACCTCGGCTTAACCATCTTACCTCAGTGTGGTATGGCAGGCCATAGATGTGGTCTTTCTCTCTGAGAAGGCTGTCAAACTGACGGTGATTCAGGCTTCTGGATCGGATGAAATTAACAGTTTGGATGACCACCTTCATGACGTTATCCATCTTTAATGACTTGCAACACAAAGCCTCCTGGTGCAAAATACAGTGAAAAGTCAAAAAATCACGTCCTCCATTTGCAGATTGCACTTTCTCTCTGAACTTTGTCACAACGCCTGCTTTTTTCCCGATCATTGAGGGCGCACCATCTGTAGCCAGGCTGACAGCGCAGGACCAGTTCATTCCGACCCTGTCCAGCGCGTCGACGAGTGCGGTAAAAATATCAGCTGCTGTCGTTGTATCTGTCATCGGCACCAACTCCACGACCTCCTCGGTGACGGTCAATGTATCATCAACTCCGCGGATGAAAAAATGGCCAGTTGTGCAACATCTATAATGTCCGTGCTTTCATCAATTGCAACCGAAAACGCAATAAATGACTTTACTTTTTGCTTCAACTGGCTGTCCAAATCCACTGAAAGATCGGAAATCCTGTCTGCAACTGTGTTTCTTGTCAGGCTGATATTTGCAAAAGCCTGCCGCTTTTCAGGGCACACAATCTCCGCTGCCTTCATCATGCATGTTTTTACAAATTCACCCTCACTAAATGGTTTTGAAGCCACTGCGATTTCATTAGCAATGAGGTAGCTAGCTTTCACTGCAGCGTCACTGATGTCTTGGCTGTGAGTAAACACAGACTGCTGTTTCTTCAGACCCGCCAACAGTTCATTCACCTTCTCTCATCTCCGCTGTCCTTGAAAGTTGTCATATTTGTCGGCATGAAGACTCACATAGTGGCGACGAAGGTTATATTCTTTCAGCACTGCAACATGCTCTGAACACACCAAACATACAGCTTTCCCATTCAATTCCGTGATTAAATAGGATGACCATTTTTCTTGGAACACTCTGCACTCTGCGTCCACTTTTCTCTTTTTTGACAGAGACATATTGGGGCAATGAGGGTGCCAAAGCACATAATGTTAAAAGTAGAAGCCGTAATAAATATCGCGGGCAAAACAAAGTAGCTCATTGGCTGCACGTGCTTGAACTACTTGCTCTGCCCCGGTATAAACAGTTTGCTTGCTTAACGCAATTGCTATTGCGCCATCCAGTGGACGCAATTGGAACAGCGGTTTATTTCATTGAAAAATTGCAGCGCATTTTTATACAAAAAAAAAAAAAAAAAAAAAATCATCTCGCGTGCCGGATTAAACCCGGATTAAAATACAATACAAACAAAAATAATCACACTTTTATTAATAGGCAATAATGATAATAAAAAGGCCTTCAGTCCTTCCATCTACACCCAACTTGTAAACGGTTGGCTACCAGCCACCCAGGAACTTCAAACCGTCACATAAGGAAAGACAAACATTCACAATGGTTAACTTGATTAATAAAGCATAAAACACAGGATTAATAGAACACAAAACACAAGATTATTAAAACATAAAACACAAACAGGGAAGTACATTTTGGCCCCCTTTAGACACCCTCTAGGGTGTCACTCCACCAAGCCTGGTAGGTCATATCCTTCATTCCTTAGGTCGGAGTCCGGGATTGGGCCGTATCTCACCATCTGTTGGGAAACCGCCTCCTCCATCACCTTTCTCACCAACCCTCGGACACAGGGAATAAGACAACATCCACAAAGAACAAGTATACCCATAGAAGCTATAACTTCACCCAGAATAGTTACAACAATAGTTTTCCATTTACCAAATATGTTATCAAACCAACCGTTTAGGGAGCTATCAATACCAGAGTTCTCAGCCAGTTCGTTCGCCAGCGTGGTGAGTCCCTGAAGCACTTTGGTCACGGACCCGTCTGGTGCTGTATTGTTGGAGATGAAAGTACAGCACATAGATCTCCGCCCCGCTCAGCTAAAAGCATATCTAAAGCTATTCTATTCTGCCATGCCATTAAGCTAGTTGCCGCTGTCTGCTCAGCCAATCCCTTTATTGCATCACAAGTGTGGTTTATAAATCTTTGCTGGTTATAGTAAATATAATTTATCCAATCTACGTTTTTATTAATTGTTGACCACCAGAAAAGACTTGATTCAAACCCAGCTGCGATCTGATTCCTAGCTTTGAATTCTTCTGGAACCCCTCAAGGTACTCCTATCCCATCAATATATATCCTTTCATCAAAGGATCCCGGGAGGAGGTCCCAATTTCTACGTGACAACTCAGCAATCTCTGACACGTTTGATTGTTTGCGTATGTAGGTGAGTTCACAATCTGTTATCGCCACACAACCATCAGATGTCAGCACGGGCCTGGTTTTGGTTCCTAAAATCCTCTGGCTGCCACAAAGAGGAGAGATTAGTCATGGTCTCTTTAGTTGTGACATTCTCTGTGTGGGAACAGGAGCTAAGATGTCCTACCCTGTATCCTATCTTATTAGTCCTAGAAAAACAATAATAAGAATCCCCTGGCACTTCAAACGGAGGCAACCTAGGTCGGGGTGACTTTGTTATCAGGGGATGCAGATAGTGCAAGTTACTACAAGACTCCTTCACCACATTCCCAGGTGGCTTGAACAATTTAATCATGGAGGATAA